AGGGAGACGTATACCGTGTACTAAATATAAAATCTTGCCTTGTTACAAGTCTAAAATTTATAATAAAAATATATACGAGGAGCCGCCCGCTTCTTCAAAAAAAAAAAAAATAATAATTAATTAAAAGTAAAATAATTATACAATTAAACAAAAAAATAAGATTTATAATTAAAATTAAAAAAAATTATTTAAATAACTAAGTTGATTAAGTTGATTTACTTGAATTTATATCATTCAATAGCAAAATTACATTTTTTTTTAATTAAAAATTTTTTTAATAAAAAATAAATTCTCAACAATTAAACACTATTTCTTATTTTTCTATTAATTTATAATTATTTAATAATTATATAAATATTGTTACTCAATTGACAAATCAACTTGAAAATTTATAAAAAATTCATAAAACACTCAATTCTATAACATAGTTATAATAGAAATTGAAATTTTGAAAAATATTAATTTATACAAAAATTAAAAATTATTCTAATGTTAAATTGAAAATATAATTGAATGCCGATAATAAATTAATAAAATAAGAAACCATATATAAATATTACTAATAAAATTAAAATCAGGGTTTAGATTTTTTGAATTTTGAACTATAGTTTTAATTATATTAATTTGTCTTTTTTATTAGAGTTTTTTTAAAGTTTATAACTTTAATATCTTTAAAAATATATCAATATTAAAAATTTTTTTTATAATTAGAAATTGTTTAAAATTGTAGTAAATTTAGGAATAATAATAGTTTTAATATAATTTTTTTGTAAATTTTACTTGTTTTCAAGTTAAAAAGAAAATTTATTTCAATTATTATAAACATTTGTATAAAAAATTTGTTTTTGATTTGATAAGAATATTGCAAGCTTTATAATAAAAGTAGTTAATTTATAAAGTATATTTGAAGGCCTTGAAATATAAAAAGGATTTGTTATTATAAAAGAAAACTTTTTGCAAAAAAATTATTTACAGAAAATGATTTTCTTGATTATATTGTTTTTTATATACTGTATAATAAATTTTAGAATTGGTCAAGTTTAATATTAGAATTTATTACAGTTATATGTTTTTTATTTCGTAAGTTAATTATATTAAGATTTGTTTAAGATTAAAGTATTTTATTTTAACTTTAACAACTTTATTAAACTTTAATTATAAGAATTGGTTTTATTTTGTTAGATGTTACAGAACTTATAACTTATTTTATTATATAGAAATGATTTAATAAAAGTTATTTTTAATGGTTTATTTTTTCGACACTTTATAATATAATATAATTAATATGTCTTGTTTATAATAAATATTGATACATGTTAATAAACTAAATTAAATATTTAAAAATAAAAAAAAAAACAATTTTTTCTATTTCAATATTTTTATTGATAATATAAAAATTATAAAAAATTATAAATATTATTTTTATATAATCAAATATTTTTTTAATCAATGATGAATTCCCCAACACCATGATCGTCAAAGTGCGTTAATTTGACGCAAGATTACATCATATGGCACCTAGGAGGCCAATGACTACAGATGCAGGGCACCAACAAGGGGTAATGGCCATCAAACCAGCAACGGCATCGGAACAGAAACCAAGAGCCGGCCATTTCTTTCCAATCTGAAATCAAGCAGAAAAAGGTGATTCCACAAACGGCCCGCAGAGCTATTGGCCGCTAATTCCGAAGCAAAACCAACCAAACCACAGTGTTGACAACATTGTGTGGCTTGAATTCGTCAACTTCGTCACCATGAAGCTTTCTGACGACAATACAGTAAACAAGAGCTGCAGCACCAGAGGTGAGATCGTATCCACGAATTCTGTTGACGTGTGCGGATAGAACAGCGGGTCAGGGTCAGGTTTATATTTTTTTTAATGCATTAAAATTATCGATCAGTGAATTGAGGACATGTGCATACGGGATGAAAGTAAAATAATAAAAAAATAACTAAACTATTTACGTAATGACCGTTGTCGAAGTTACGAAAGAGGTTACAAAGTGCGGAGTCACATTTATACTGTATATGCGAATATGCATACATTCGTGAATTAATTGGTTTTACTCTAATTTTTATTTATTTTATTTTAATAAAATTTAATCGATCGAGTATAAAATAATAAAAATAATGTTAAATAATATTTAAAAAATTTTTTTTAAATTAGTTTATATTGATCAATAATATATAGTTTTTAAAAATATAAAAAATGTATTAAATTATACTGTATACTGTATCTAGTGATAGAATAGACAATTTCATATTGCTAATATGTTTGTGAACAAAGTTAAATATTTAAATCTTGTTCCATAAAAAAATCGGTTTTTGTATAACCATTTTTTATTTATACCAAATTTATTTGTTCCCTGACATAAAGATTTTCACATACGGTACCGTCTCGCCTTAAAAAAAATACTCGTATGTGCCGAGATACATACAGCATGGAAAGTTCAAATTAAACAATCATTTTATATACAGTATATAAATAAATAGAAATAATATTCTTATTTTAAACCTTCCATACTGAATACAGTATCACGAATTACATACGGTGTTTTTAGTCGAATTACCTACTGTCTTAATTTGGGTTATTGCCTGATGGCATGCCGTACAAAAAATGGATTGATTGTAGCACACTAAAATCCGTCTATATCGTAGGGGGCAAACATACTCTATACTTTAAAGCTGCCAGGTTCAATGTCAAATCGGACACAGGTCATTTATTCTGCAACTTCGGTATATTCCTCGTCATCATATTTATGTACACATGCGCATTCATTTCCGGCATAGTCCTATTCTATATTAGTCAGTCATTGAGTCCGACGCTTGAGCAAAACCCGGTTCTCGCAAGAATCATCATCATGTGAGGTTGAATAGTGGATGTTGCATGAAAGCAGGGCAGAGTCCATGTTGCACAAAGGTAAAAAAAAATGTATAAAAATACACGAACACCTCAATTCTTCTTAGACATATTGTTATAATTAATTTAATTCTTCTAACCACTTCTACTATGAGTAATCAAATTATTTATAAATTACACTATACCAATAGTCTAGGAAAAACTTTCTATATTGACGATCAAGGTGGAGTTTATGATATTGATGATGTAAACTGTCCCGTCCTAATTGGTCATTTAACCGATATAGGCCTAATGAACTCGATAGGCCTTTTAATCTTAGACTCCTATCATGTTGAAGTTGTAACTTCTAGCCCTATAAAACGACATGTGTGTATTTTCTGCGAAAAAACATTCCAGTCTCCTAGCGCGTTAAGAACCCATAAAAACTCTCATACCGGGGAAAAACGTAGGTCTAAATAAATTTTTATTTAATACATTTAAGATAACCGAAACTAATTTTTAAAAACATGTATTTAGCATATAAATGCGAAGTTGAAGGATGCGGAAGAATTTATACGACTAACAGTAATCTCCTTCGTCACAAAAAAAAACATAATTAGAGAGGAGAATAATCACGTTATACATACCGCGCCAAATAATATCTCTGCGCTTCTTCTTTGCACTTCTTGAATGTGTGCCAGATTGGTGGCACAATTTATATTAGCCACAATAATAGTCATATGATTATAATAATTAATCTCTGAAAATACATTATGTATGTACAGTAATATCTAATGTACAGTATATCAATATTAAATACACTAGTAATAAATATTCAATTCAATTGATTTTTCATTTTTGCTTAAATTTTGTTATTTTTTATTAACTTTTCTTTTTTTTCAACTTGGAATAATTTGTGAATCAAGATTTTCTTTTCCTCTATTTGATTTACGCCATTTAATTAATTCAACTTGAACACGGATCATAGAACCACTTTTAATGTGTTGGATTCACATTATGGTTACTATCATATAGGAAGGAGGATAGTAGAGCCATTGAAATTAATTTTGATGCCTGGTATCATTCAACAAATTTCTGTAATGCAGTATGAAATTGTGGTCCACTATTTTGATAATCATTCTTGATTTCTTCATTATTTTTATTTTGTTCTTTAAATAATGAATAAATAAATAAATAATAAATTTTGTTTGATAATAATTAAAAAATATATACATCTCCACTTAGTAATTAACATTTTTGTTGAATTTTCTTTATATAACTTCACTTTTTATAAAATTCTTGTAAAATTTTATTTGTATGTATATGTAATGATGCATAAAATAAATTATCCTTTGCTCCTGTCTATAGTCATGCTTTTGGGCAAATAGTAATTTTTTTAAAAAATATTCTTATATACATACAGTGGCGGTCAAAAGTTTTGCATCACAGATCAATTTTTATATTAAAACATAGTAAAAATTGAAATTTGTAAGAAGGATCCAAAAAATCTGAAAAAAATATATAATAAACTCCAACTGATGAACTTAATGGGCAAAAAATAAAAAAAATTATTTCTTGGTAAAAAATTAGACTTTAATATAGCATACAAATTTCAATTTTTACTATGTTTTAATATAAAAATTGATCTGTGATGCAAAACTTTTGACCGCTACTATAGAATATATAAGGTAAAAATATTTTTAATAAATTTAAATTAAATTTAAGTATAAAAAATTACTGTTTTTTTCAATATAATTTCAAATTTATCAAAAGTAATAAATAATTCAAGAAGATTAAACTGCTTTTAAGAACCTTTTCTACTTGCCATATACTTAATTAACTTTATTTCAATCAATATTCAAATATTATTTGTTCAATATATAAGTTTCATACTGAAGATATATAATATATTTTTAAATGCTCTGAAACTTCTTAAAAAACTAATTAAATCATCAAGATTATTAATTAAATTATCAAGATTATTAATTAAATTATTCATCCAAATAATAATCACAAATCAATTTCATATATATAACAAGTTATCAAATTGTTATATGAAATAATAGCAAAACTTTTTTTATATTAACTATTATCAATTAAATTAAAGTAGCAACAGAATCTTTAATCCAATTGTATAGTTTGATTTGAAAATCTTATTACTTTATAAAAAACATCTTATTTCTTATTAAAATTAAGTGAAATTCTATCAAATCTTTTAATTCTTTTAATTCTTTCAAAGTAAAAATTAATATTATTCTGTAATCCAAAGTTATAGTCACTATTAATCTATAAAAAGATATTACCATTAATCTATTTTTTATTGTAGCTAACTTATTTATTTAATTTAGATATAATTACTTTAAATATATTTATAGTTTAATATTGTTATATTTTAATTCCATTTCTTTTAACATTAAATAAATATTTATAACTACTAAATGTTATCTGACTAATTATATTATTTTAAATTTTCTTTTTTAATATTTGTTATATAGTTACTAGTATTTGACTTATTGTATTAATATATAAAAAATATTTCTTTTATAATATATATCTTGCTATATACAAATCAAACAAAAAAATAATATTTATTTTTTTTCCTATAACTAGTGTATATCTTGCTATATACAAATCAAATAAAAAAATAATGTTTATTTTTTTTTTCTATGACTAATATATATCTTGTTTTTTTTTTTTTTGCCTCTAATCAAACTGCAAAAATTGCGTTTATTTATCCAATTTTGGAAAACAGTAGTACAATGTGAAACTATACTAAAGCTAAACTATCTCTTAATTGCAGAACACCCGTCAATGAATTTAGATTTGTACATGATCCTTGAATCCTTAATACCAAGACCACCGTGTTGCCCACATGATCTAGCTA